GTTAATTACTTTGCTTCAGCAATACTGAATTCACTAGTTGTTTGTTACAAATTTTGTGCAAAGTTACACGAGGGCTATCTGCCCTAGCCATCCCTAATTTAGCAGTGTAAGACTAGAGGGAAGACAGCTAGTCATCATCACCCACCTCCAACTCTTGGGCTACTCTTTTACCAATGAATAGTGGGATTGACCGTCACATTATAATGTCTCCACAGCTGAAAGGGCGAGTATGTTTGGTGTGACTAGGATTCAAACCCACGACCCGCAGATTACGAGTGGAGCGCCCTAACCACCTAGCCATGCCGGACCAAATTCACTAGTATGATGTGCACAATTTGCTTGTATAATTTGTTTTAAAAATGGGTCTAGAAAATGGACTGGTACGTTTACTTGTTAGAAAGCACATTATTAAAAATATTACTGTTACGACAATAGCTTTTAACTATGACACGATATAAATTACTTATAAATACAGCACATCCTAAATATGTATTGTTCAAACAAGAAGTTGCTGGAAAATACCTGAAAGAAGACAAGGAAACAATCCAACTTCTTTTTACTTGAGCCACTGTTAAAATACTGTCCACAGGTCTCTAGCAGAATACAGACAAGACGAATTCTAAAAAGGTTATCTGGTGAGTCCAGCTCAGAATAGGAATCTGTAAACATTTCAAATTTAAAAAAATTCTATTAATACTGAAATTACTACCTTAAATATTTCAAAAGATAATAGGTAAACAAAATCACTGGAGGTATTCTTATTAATACATGCTCACCACTACTTTACAAGATGACAGCAGCAAATATTCACAGGGTACTGTGTAGTGCATGTGATTACACTGTACATGGCATCAACTTGTAGTCATTAAGTATACTAAAAGAAGCACCAAATTCAATTAAAGTGTTATAATTCTGTGTGATTTAAATGTAATGGGAGAATGAAATTATTCATCAAAATATCAAGTGCATATATAATGTGGAAAGAGCATTACAATGATGAGAAAAAACGAACATATGTTTATGACAAAGCTACTAAGGCTATCTGCTGCCATCCCTAATTTTGAACTGCTGACCAGAAAGGCAACTAGCTTGTAGCATCCACCAACAAATCTTGATCTATTCTTTACCAAGAAATAATGGGATTGCCTGTTACATTATAAATCCCCCATGGCTGAAAGGGTGAGCATATTTGGCACCGTGTTTCAATCCCATGACTGACAGATAGTGAGTTTAGCATCCTAACCACCAGGCCATCTAAGACCAAAAAAAGAAAACAAGGAGCACAACACAAACAAAAATAAAATTTATAAAGGTAACTGTTTTGGTGTTTAAATAACACAATAATAGTATTAAAAATGTAAATTACCGAATTTTATACATGACAGTATGTACACTCATAAACTTTAGCAACAAATATTATAGAAATACAAAGCATTGTTACTCAATGATTAAAAACACAATATAACAAATCCAGAGAAATATGCAAGAAAAGCAAGTATTTCACTAAAACATTATGGTATTCACACCTTGGTCATAGTTTAAGTTCTTTAACATTAATGATTAATTACAAATGAAAAAATTTACAAATATAAGGCTTAACATTCAAAAACAATCAATAAACTTGAATTGTTTAACAAGAGCACAAGAAATTTTAACAAAGAAATATTAAACCACAGTTTATAACAAGTACATAAACATAGTTATGTTTAATACATATTTCATGCAATTTTTGAAACATAAAATTCAAAGAGTTTTCCAAGAATTTCTAGGATAAAAGGAATATATTTTCAAGAATAACCTTCAAATATTTATCAAGTTATTAAAGACAAAAGATCTTTTTTTTTACTGAGGAAATAGTATCAGTGTTAGTTGTAAAAAAATTAAAATATTAATTCATGATTAGCTTTAATGATCACAGGTTTCAATGAGTTGCACGTTTTAGTCACAATGATTCTTTTTGCATTTCATGTGGCTGCTTAAGTTTGTTATGAATTTTGCGCAAAGCTACACGAGGGCTATCTGCACTAGACATCCCTGATTTAGCAGTGTAAGACTAGAGGGAAGGCAACTAGTCATCACCACCCACCATCAACTCTTGGGCTACTCTTTTACCAACGAATAGTGGGATTGACCGTCACATTATAATGCCCCCATGGCTAAAAGGGCGAGCATGTTTGGTGTGATGGGGATTTGAACCCACAGATTGTGAGTCGAGTACCCTAACCACCTGGCCATGCCGAGCCTGACTGCTTACGTGTTGATTCTTCCACTATATACAAGTCTATAGATTTTTTGTTGAGGAAGCAAAAAGCTTTGCTTAGGGACTGCTGCTGTAGATTTTCAGCCAGGGATTACACTCTTCATCAAGCCATTTATAACTGAAAGTACACCTTCCAGGTATAGTGACTGACTGTTGTCAATTAATTATAGTATTTTGGCACTTGTGTATAAAG